ATGCCAGATGCCCTTCCTGTTACAACAAGCCACGAATGATTGAAAACTATTTTTGCTTTATAGTATTTCATTGGCATTTGTTAATTTTGTCTAGATCTCTTTAATTTCTGCTTGAAAATAGAAAGAAAAGAATTGAAATCAAGCAAAAATATTGGAAAAAGTCAAATCAACTATAAGACAAATACAAATAAAAACATCAAAACTTTACAAATACTCTGATAAGGCCATTAAGCCATGTTATTTCGAGGTCGTAAAAGTGATCAGAACCACTAGACACGCCAAATCTGGCTGACCGGGGCTGTAACGACGGACAGAATGCAAAACAATCTGTGCCCGAGCGTTCATTGTTGGCAGGGCTTTCAAGTGTTTCAGTGGCCGTCACCTCCGCCGCCGGTAAAAAGATGAAGGGAAGGAAGACATGTTTACGTCTCCAGACAAAGGCGAGCAGCGGTGTTATGACCAGAGCGGAGCGCGTTAGCCGGGAGCGAGAGGGTGGAACAGGAGGAAAAGCTATCATCAGTCAGGCCCGCCAACAAGAGACACGCCAAATACAAGGAGCGATGGATCCTAATAGTAGGTTTAAAGTGAACGCAAGGAAAAACAACGACTAAAACAGGAAAATATAAGTACACAAATAAAGTACAAACTAATTCTATAAAAGTCTAAAGGTCCTATATTTTGCAAAAGGGCCCGGTCAAGCAGAAGTAAACAACAAGGTCAAAACTTCAAGTTAATGCATCTGATATAAAAATGTATTGAACAGATACATATGTACTCTAGTTTATGAAACTGTTGACCTTTTTTCTGTACCATTTTTGGTTCTAAAGTTCCATATGTTTTAAACAGACCATGTATGAAACATGGAACAAAAATTATTTCCCAAATTTCAAAGACCTGAAAATCATGTCAATAAATGGATGTATTTCATCATATCTTGTGTTATTCCATCTTTGAACTGTTGAAGAAGGTACATGATTTTTATTTTTTTTTTTATGTATTTAAAATGATAAAAATTAGCTTGGAAGGACTGACATATTTTATAGTAATAGTTTCCTTTCATTTTGAAGTAATATTAAAGTATTCGGAAGAAAAAAGCAACAAATGATGTAAAATCCTGCACCTTCTACTTGTTTGTACAATTTTCCCTCCGTTACTTTTCCCTCCATTACCATGACCTTTCTTAATAAAAAATCTCATTAGTCAAAAAGTAAGAGGTTTTTCAACCTAATCTTGTACCATATGGTAGAAAACTATATGAAGCAAATATTCAAACCAGTTTGTTAAGGATATGTAAGTGAGAACCAAGAGTTATCACTGTTTGGATTTATTGCCCAAAAAGTGCTGCATATTTCATTCCCTCCGTTACCGACATGAGTTTTTTAATTTTTTGTCAACAACTTGAAAGAATATCACAGGTTTAACTTGACCCTGTTGGAGTGTAACTCTTTCCTACATTCTGATACTTTACTTATTTCAATAGTTCCTCTAGTTTCTGAATAAGAGACATTTGAATGTCAAAAATCTGCCCGTTTCCCTCCGTTACCACTTGACCGGACCCAAAATTTACTTCTGTGAGCTTTAAGTCACGTTATAATGTTTTTACCTCCTCAAAAACAAACCTGGAGTTGTGTTTTGTTTCATTCATTCATTCATGTTTCAGTAATTCTTTATCATTAGTCTGTTTACAGCTCCAGAGCTCAAAATTATGGAAGATAATTTGTACCGTTAAATGCTGAATTTTAAATACTGCTGAATTCACTTTGAATTTTTTAACTCTGAAAAAGAGGTTTGAATTATTGTTATTCTGAATTTGAGTTGCTGAAATTTTAAGTAAACTTTTTTCAGTATGTTTCAAATTCAAAATAAAAAGTTCACCTGTTAAACATTCAGCACAGATATTTTCAAGCCCTCAAATTCAACAGTGGAAATTCAGTGTGAAATTCGCAGTGGAAATTTTCACAGCGTGCCAAGGCAAAAGCAATCGATCCTGTATGAGCGAGGAGGACAGAGGCTGTTTCCTATTGGTTGTTCTCATCTGTGGGCGGGGTGTAAAATTAAGAAATTAAAGAGATGAGGTTCTGATGAAGTTAATTCTGACCAATCAAATCACTTCACTGCATCATTTCCTGCTGAGTTAGATCGGAAAAATTGCTTAGGCCTTGACATCTTGGATCTTTGCTGCTAAATTTTCACTGTGAATTTTACACTCTGAATTTTGAGTGTTGAATTTGAGAGCTTGTGCTGTAAATTTAATAGGTGAACTTTTTATTTTGAATTTGAAACATACTGAAAAACTACACTTACAATTCAGAATACAAATAATTCACAACTTTTTTTCAGAGTGAAATATTAAACACATGAATTTTGACTGTTGAGTTTGAGGGTCTGAAAATATTTGTGCTGAATATATAAGGTGATTTTTTTAATATATTGAATTTGAAACACAGAAAGATTGGCAATTCTAGTGCTGAAATGATCCAAATGACTCTAGTGAAAGTGCATGGAGCAACAAACATGACATCACAATGTGGAACACAGTATTCAGTATTTTCTGTTTGAGAGAAGAACTCAGCCTAAAAATACAACACGGTTTGAGTGTGAATAAAACAAAACACAACTCCATATGTTTGAGATCAGGAAACATCAGAAAAGTCTAATATGTCATTAAAAGCAAATTAAAAATTAGAAAATTTTGAAAATATAAGGAAAAAGAAATTGTAATTTTTTTTTTTTTTTCCAAAAACTTCAAAGCGAGAAATTCAGTGGCATTTAAAATTCAAAATCTGATGAAACAAATGATAATCCAGACAAATGCTCAGCTCCAACTTGTGATGTCATGTAGTGGTAGTGTTCCAGTTGATGCCCACCTTTGACTTTTTGTTCAGCAGAGATTGGCAATTCCAGGGCTGTTATAAAAAAAAAAAAAAAGTGATTCTATTGAAGGTGTACGGAGAAGAATTCAGCCTAAATCTGGAGGGTTAGTGTGTTAACTCTTTCCTCCTTGGACGGATAGTAGGAACAACCCATACATATATAACTAGGACTACCCATAGAGCATAAGTGCATAAAAGAAAACAAACTTCCACAAGTGATTATAAATGATTTTCACACTCATGAACTTAATTGAAACACAGACATATTTGTATCTCTGGAAACCTTAGACTCTCAACTCTTTATTTCTGGATGTTTAAATGTGATTCAACTCATTTACAGGTTTATAACAGCTCACTGAAAATGAGAGTTGACCTGGTCAGGTGCAAAATAAAAAACAAAAAACTACAATCAGCATCTCATATATGCATGATTCTGAGTACTATATTCATAAAAAAAATAAAATAAATATGTTTATCAAAGTATTTAAACAGATTTCATATCACCAGATACAGAATAACCAAGTGTGCACCTGTTTTTACCTGTTGTTCACCTGTGTGCACCTAATTATTTTTTTCCATTTAACTTATTCAACTAATTGAACTTATTATAATATCTAATAATATAATAATAAAACTCTTTCCTGTCAGTATGTGTCCAGTATTTGTCATGTTGGTTACTTTCTCGTGCACAGAGCTCCACATAAGCATTTGTTTCTGTAGCAATTCTGTCATACATCTCATCTTGGAAAAAAAGACTGAAATATTTTAAAGGACTCGTCTGAGCAACATCCAGATTTCAGGGCAATTTTGGTTCATAATCGAGTATAAAGTCCCCGATAGTTTGGATATCACAGGACTCCATACAGACGCATCAGCTGCATTCTCACCTTCATAAGTTTCACTCCCCGAAAGTCCGTCGCTATCGCTGTTTTCCACTTTATAATCAACTTCATCATCACTTTGAAATCTATAAAAGTCATTTTTCTAAACTTATCCATAAAATACGTCACCTCCTCATTATTTCTAAAATAGTGCGCCGCAATCTTTCTACTGCACGTGTTTTGTGTTGTGTTTTTCCGGAAGTTACAATCGTCACTACTTCAATTAACTTCGGAAAAGATCGGCGAAAACGTATCCTGGAATCCTGTTGGTCAGTCTAGTGTGTGTTGTAGTGGCCCCCACCTATCACAGCCTCTGTTTAAAACTGTGAAAAACCGAGCTGTTTGTAATAGTCGTCAAATCACGTCTTTAGTGATACAGCGGAGGTGTCAAAAGACGTCATTAAGGAAACAAGGGAGGGTCGTCAAATGTCGTCTTCATGGGGGAAAGAGTTTAACATGTGTGAATGAAACAAAACACAACTCCACGTCTGTTTGTGAGGAGTTAACAACATTATAACAGAGATCAGAGCGTCACATGGGCCATTTAAGAAGAAAATTGCTCAAAAATAAATATTAAACAAGACCAAAACAGAACAAAAACTGCCTACACCAGATGAGCCAAAACAATTAAGGAAACAAAAAGCACAAATTTGCAAAGAAATTAAGACTAAACCAGGGCTTAAGTGACTGAAATGCGAAAACAGGACAAAACAGGTCTGCAACAGGTATGACTTAAGACTAGAATATTAAACTAAACCAAGTGTAAAACATGTTTAAAAAAAGACCTCTAAGTTGATCCAGAAAAGTCTCATTCCATTGTCGTGCCTTATTTGGTTACATTTGGCTTACTTTGTGGTTCTTTCTTTCATGGGCAAGTAACTGTGGAAAATGATGCAGAATCTGAGAGTGCTCTTTAAATCCTGAGGAAGCCAGGACTTAACCAAGACTAAAACAGGGGTAGAGTTACTAGACGGACTGAAAAGTATGCAGCAAGACTAGCAGAACTAAATAAGGAACAATATGTCTGGTCCAAAACTAAAATGGAGCTGAAATAATCAAGGAACAAATTCGAAGGGCAAATTCGAAGATGAAACTCAACGGAACTAAACCAGGACTAAAAAAGGACTAGTACTGGTATCTACACAAAGTATTTCAATATTACAAAAATACTTGAGGTCATTTCAGTGTGTGTAGTGGATGCATAAAGGATTGGAGAGATGAGTGGTCTGAGTTTGTGGGGACTTACTTGAGACAGCCGGGGGCCAGGGGGTGCTGCCGTCATCCTCTCCACTGGGCAGATCTGTAACGCAAGAAGAAGGAAGTGAGGTCAACAGACAAGTAAGAAAAAGTTTAGATACATAGAAAGTGCCAAGTAATAAAACTGAAACATGGTATTTTATCATTTGTATGGGATGAAAGTCAGTAATGAGAACAATATTTTAAACATGTTTGTTGCAAGTAGGACTGTCGCGATAACTGCAAAAATTTATCACCGCTGTACTAAGATGTTAGGCCACCGCGATCACCGCACGTGACCAACGTGACCTGACCCAGAGTCCTACACAGGTCCATTTTTAGAGACACGCACCCGCCCGGACCTGTTAACATTCCACTCGTTACCTGCCCGTGCCCGTGATAACCCAGGACTAACTCAGGACTAACCCCGGACTAACTCAGGATTAACCCGGGACTAACTCAGGACTAACCCCGGACTAACTCAGGACTAACCCAGGACTAACTCAGGATTAACCCGGGACTAACTCAGGACTAACCCCGGACTAACTCAGGACTAACCCAGGACTAACTCAGGATTAACCCGGGACTAACTCAGGACTAACCCCGGACTAACTCAGGACTAACCCAGGACTAACTCAGGATTAACCCGGGACTAACTCAGGACTAACCCAGGACTAACTCAGGACTAACCCAGGACTAACTCAGGATTAACCTGGGACTAACCTACGACTAACCTAAGACTAACCTAGGACTAACCCAGGACTGAACCAGGACTGAACCAGGACTGAACCAAGCTGAACAAAGGACTAACCCAGGACTAACTCACAAGTTTTCATTTGTGCTGCTCTGGTGGGAGGGGCCACACACAGAGGCACTGGAGACACTGCTATGCTAAGCGACACAGAAAATTACCAATATTTTAATAGGAAATATAATTAAAATATTTTACTAGAAAATCAGCCGAGGACCAGATTAAAGGTCTCGGAGGGCCGAATTCGGCCCTCGGGCCATATGTTTGACACCCCTGGCTTAAACAATCAACCAATGCCTGATATTAACCAATACCAAAAAACAAAACCCTATTTATTTCCTTAAAACAAAAATAAAATAAGACAAAGCGGATGCAACTGTGTTATGGAGCTGTTATTTATCTCTCAGTTAATTACAGGACAGCTTTGTGTAAATAAAAGTTAAAATATTATGAGTCTTTCTGGGCTGATTCTATGACCAGGAAATAGTCTAATATCCCAACCAGAATATTGGCTGAATTGGTATTTGGAAGCTGATATTTGATCCAGCAAATTTTTCAGTAACAGCGCCGATGTCACTTCTTCCCAAATGATAAACTCAATACAGTAAATAGAAGTTAATAGTGATGGTACAAGATCTCGTGAGACAAAATTGCCACAAGATCGAAGAAGAGAAAGTGGTGTGTTTACATTTAGACTGGACAAAAAAGGGTTACACTTTGGTGAGTTACTTCTCTTGCCATTCCAAAAAGCAGCACTAGATTGAAAACAAAACTATGAAATGAAATAAATGACAAAATTGTGAGGCCAAAATTGGAAACTGAACACAACTGAACCAAACTGTTAGGAATTATGTTAAAATCTCATCTTGTCTCGTTCTTGTGGACCCAATCACGTGGAAATTTTGTCTCATCCCATAGAAGTTCATTTAAGAAGTTTTATCTGGTACCACTGAATCTGATTTTAGATGAGCAGCGTCTCATATATCTTAGCTGTAAACATGTAAGGCAGGATGGCAGGATTGCACAGTGAGGCCTTTGTGTGCTGATTCACGAGTTATTAGGAGGTTACAGGAGTTTGTGATTTAAACAAGGACAGCGAGCCCCTTAATGGAAACTCTAAGACAAACCAGTGTTTACGGAGCGTCTTAGTCACCTAAGTCACAACAAACAAGGAAAATCCCATCTCATCTACTGAGACCGAGCCATTCCTAAAACAAATGACTTCAGAGATGGTGGTGGAAGTGATGTGACGAGTTGTTGTCCCTCAGGAAAAAATGATCCATTATAATATTAACAAAAGAGTGAAAGTCTCAGATGACATGTTTGAGCACGTGTTTTTTCCAGTAGTAAACTCATATATATTAACAGTAGTCCAGAAAGCGTTAATTAACTCATCTGTGCAAACTTTGTATTGATAATATTGTTTTTTTTAATCAATATAATTCCACAAAGTTCCTACGAAACCAATGATACATGCACTATAGCTACTCTGATTGATGAATGCTCTGATGTCATTTTGTTGTTAATTTTGTTTAATTTTGTGACATTAAACTCTTTAAAGGTTCATGTACTGTATGTCAGAGAATGTGTTCAACCACACCACAAAATCTGCATTATTTTACCAATCCCCAGTCTGAAAAAAAATCTGAAAATTCATCTGAAATTTGAATGAGGTACCGTATTTTTTGGACTAAAAGTCACACTTTTTTTGCATGGTTTGGGTGTTTCCTACAATTTATATTCCAGTGCGACTTATATTTTAAAATTTTCACACTGAGAGCCTGAAGAGGGCGCTCTAGGCTTGTGTGTCACTATCTGCTGTTCATATTACTCCTGTACCACTGTAACTTCACTCTACTGCGCATGTCTCCTGCAGAAAGAGCCTCTGTCCTGTCTGTATCATGTCAGTCGATCGCAACATTACTTCTGCACCACTGAAAATGTTAAATTTAAGTGACTTCAGTGATGACTGAAACCATCCTGTCGGGATTCAGAAAGGACGGTATAATTCTAACTGGAACTGATGCTGAGTTTGATGCGGCGCTCTGTTTACCTCTGGAAATCGCCAAGTTGCTCAGAAGTGACCCCAAGGATGAAGAATTGAATGGATTTAGTGATTTGGAGTGAGATGGAGAGTTTGGTAAACTTGTTCTGTTCTGTTGTTTATGTCATAGTTTATCTGTTTCATATGTGACGTTAACAGTCTGTTGTTCTCTGTTCTATTGTTATTACTAGAATTTGCCTTTCAACATGAAATATCGGTTCCCGGTCTCTGATTTTATCAAATAAAATTTTCTCCCAAAAAGTGCGAATTAAATATGTTTTTTTGGCTGGTGCGACTTAAACTCCGGAGCCAGTTATAGTCCAAAAAATACGGTAGAAGTTAAAACCAAACTTCAGGAGGATTGCCATGGAAAGAAACGAGAGTGATGCCAAACTATGGAACATTATTCTATTATTATTATTATTATGGAACATTATTTTACCAATCCATAATCTGAAAAAAAATGTTGTTTGGAGCAGAAGTTAAAGCCATACTTCAGGCGGCTTTCCATGGAGAGAAATGAGAATTATGCCAAACTATGGAACATTATGGCCAAACAACATTTCCATGAAAACAAGCAGGTTAAAGCCCTCCTCCAGGCTAAATATGAGAGTCAATGTTAAGATCACTGTAAGAAAGCATGTTTTTCTGTGTCTTAATGGGAATAAAAACATAAAAATATGCATTTATTTTTGTTTGTTCCTTTGAATTGCAGTCTTTGCAATCTGATACTTGGCCCATTTAAAGGTGCATTGTGTAACTTCTCTGGTGGAGGTCAAACACTTTTCTAAATGGAGATGTTGTTGCTTTGTCTGGAATGTTTCACAGTATGGCACTAAACTAAAATCTTCAGGGAGACCAAACCTTTTCTAAGTATTCTTGAGCTATAAAACCACCTGTAACTGAATAAATATAAAGTAGAGCTGATTAATGTCATACTGAGGAACATTCCAACCAAAGATTTGCTCCCAAATCATTTAAAACCTACATATCCTTCTTTTCTTCCCTTTTCCTTGCCAAGTCTTTATACTGTAATTCAGTTCAAAGCCTGATGTTGAGTATAATTACTGTGGTTTGTGGTCACTCGGCTGCGCACTCACCTCCCGAAGCTTCATCGGCTGCGAAGTCCTCATCATCGTCCAGTAAACCGTGCGACGCCTGCACCCTTTTCTCCGCCTCCAAATCCTCCGGCACCGGGACCTCCCCCCACACCTTGGAAGCCCGGGACACCTACCACAAACAAAGAAAGGAGAGATTTAAAAAGGGCTTAAAGGACGGGGAGGGGAATCGTAATGTTTAGTTTTACACTTTATCTCTGACAAGTTCTTTGAAAAGAGCCCAGTGCTGTAAAACGTTACGAAACCATAATAGGAATGATGCATGAGCGTACAAAGATAATGTCTCTAGTTAAATTTTACGACGTGCTTTCATTGTTGACAGTGACCTACATACAGCGCTGGCACACTACCAGTTGGCAGGCAGACAGATCAGAATGACAACATGATGGATCTATTTAAAGCTCCTATTTTATGCTTTGACGTGGCCTTTTAAAATACTATTTATAATGTCTGAATATATGGAGACGTGAACATTCCGTGATATGCTGAAAATTAGTAGGTCAAATTGCTACAAATTAGTAATTTTATAATGAAAACAAGAAATGTCTGGACAATATCACAAGTCCAATGACGTAGCGAAGCCTTTAAACAGCTACTTCAGTTGCACACATTGAGAGTAGAACCCAAAACTAGGGATGGGTATATTATAATCGAAAATCGAAAATCAAATTTGTTTGTTTTCCACAACATGAAATCATCGGTCAGTGTGGAGACGCACTGGGGGCTGCCGGCATATCTCCTGCAGTACTGAGTTCATTTGCGCATGTTCCCGTGTTTTGGTGTGTTTCGCTCTCAGATGGCTCTACATGGTAGTGATTGATCTGTGGTTTGCGAGCTTCACCTGACAGATTTTACACTGAACATTTAACAAAGTAAATGACGACCATACGGAACTTTTACTTGCTTTCTGCATTGCTAATGCCGCGCGAAAAGTTTTCTTCTTCTGTTATTCCGGAGCAGCCTCTACACTCGGCCTAGTCTACCGCGCCTACAGGGAGTTTTACAGTCTGTTAGCGCCACCTTCTGGCCGAATACCGTACATGAAATATTGTTTAGGAAACGTCTTTATTCGAAATTACTATTCGATATTCGAACGTATGACGAATATTCGACTATTCGAAAATCATGTCTCATCCCTACCCAAAACATCTAAAAAAAATCTAGAAAATAAACAGTCATGCTCTGTAATGAAGGCAAATTTTACGTTTAATTAAAGAACTATTTTAAGGAGCTCATATCACGCTATTTTCTGATCTGTGTTATAATGTTTGCTCATCACAAACAGACCCGGAGTTGCGTTTTGTTCCATCCACACATGTTTAACACACAAACCCTGCAGATTTAGGCATGTTTAGTTCTTCTTCCCTCAAGCGGAAAACACTATGTTTCAGATAATACAGGAAGTGCTCCACTGTGTTTTAAACTCCATACACCTTCAGTAGAATCATTTGGTTAATTTAAGACCTGGAATTGCCAATCTCTACTGAACAAAAGTTAAAAGGTAGTGGTTAACTTTAAAATGACCACTTCATGACAACACAAGATGGAACAGAGCATTTTGAGCTTTGGAGATGCAGACAAACATGTGTGAATGAAACAAAACACAACTAGACATGTTTATGATGATGTAATAACCTTCTAACATATCTTAAAGCTTTCAGGAATCCATTTAGTGTAATATGTGACCTTTAAATAAGAAAATACTGCATTTTTTGGACTATAAGGCACTTAAAATCCTTAAATTTTCTCAAAAATCAACAGTGTGCCTTATAATCCGGTGCACCTAATGTATTAATTCTGGTTGTGCTTATTGACCTTGAAACAATTTTATGTGATACACAGTGCTCAAAATGTTTTAGTACGACTTTGGTAAACTACGAAACCACACTGCTTGACGGATTGTCAGAGCATTATGACTACTGTAATCAGGAGCCTTGTGTCCTTTAGTCTGACAGAAGCTGACCACATCAGGGCACAAGAAGCTAGCAGTTTTTTCAGTGCTTATAGTTTATGCAAATGAGCCATGTGGTTTTAAGTTTTGTTTCTGTAAAACGTAAACAAATGTGGCAAAGCTGCATTAAACACGTTATTACTCAATGTATATTTGTTTTTTTTTATTTCCAACGAGAACGACTCAAACTTAAATGATTCATCCACATTCACATTCATAAGACAGAGAGACAACGCCGGGCGAATTACACCACGATCTGCCAATGGATCCTGTTCAATCCTATTTTAGACCTGGTTTAGACCTGATTTATTCTTGGTTTAGTCCTGGTTTAGTCCTGGTTTAGACCTGGTTTTAGACCTGTTTAGAGTTGGTTTAGTCCTGGTTTAGTCCTGATTTAGACCTGGTTTTAATCCTGGTTTAGACTTGGTTTAGACCTGGTTTTAGTCCTGCTTTAGTCCTGGTTTTAGTCCTGTTTTAGTCCTGCTTTAGTCCTGCTTTAGTCCTGGTTTTAGTCCTGGTTTAGTCCTGCTTTAGTCCTGCTTTAGTCCTGGTTTTAGTCCTGCTTTAGTCTTGCTTTAGTCCTGCTTTAGTCCTGGTTTTAGTCCTGCTTTAGTCCTGCTTTAGTCCTGGTTTAGACCTGGTTTTAGACCTGGTTTAGAGTTGGTTTAGTCCTGGTTTAGTCCTGATTTAGACCTGGTTTTAGTCCTGGTTTAGACTTGGTTTAGACCTGCTTTTAGTCCTGCTTTAGTCCTGCTTTAGTCCTGGTTTTAGTCCTGCTTTAGTCCTGCTTTAGTCCTGGTTTCAGTCCTGCTTTAGTCCTGGTTTAGACCTAGTTTAGACCTGGTTTAGACCTGGTTTAGTGTCCGGTAATGAGTGGAATTGCCGAGAAAAAAATAAATAAAAGAAAAAGGGATATAGCCCAAAAAACAGGAAATTATCCCCATTTATTTCAACCAAGTAACTATAATCCAATTACTACTCATTGAAACAGTAACTGTAACTGAATACAATTACTCATAATTTGTACTCTGATTATGTAACTCTGGTACATGTAATCTGTTACTCCCCAACACTGACCCCTACATATCAACACATAAGCAGATACATTGGAAGAAACATCAGAATGAGTAACTTTAAAATGTGGGCCTTGGGGTTAAACTGACATACCACATCTCCTCCTCTTCCTCCTGCTCCTCCTCTTCCTCCTGCACTCCTCTACACTCTCTACCCTCCACCATCAGGAGCAGTGTCTCATGGAAAGATTGTGTCACCTGCCGGAGCCGTGCGAACGCCTCAAATGGAACACCTCGGAACAGGCTCTTAAATACCTCACTGTGATCTCTGTGTCATTTAATGTGCCACTGAACGGAGCAAAAGAGAAGGAGAGACAGAGGGAGGAGGAGAGGAATCCAATACTGACAAATGCCCCGGGTGACGGCGAGGTACAATTTCACTTTAAAAGCGCCCTATACAACTTTATCGTCACCTACTTGTCTGCAAGGATACAATACTGCTTTGCTTTAAAGTACGGCCTTAAACATATCTTGCTTTTTTTTTCTTCACCTCTATCATTTTTTCAGCAATATGATATGACTTGAGCTGTAGAAGGTTGAATTATGAACTTGTACGACACATTATAGACACAAACACACTACTTGTATTTGCTGCAATCTGATATTTCTTTATTGCAGCTCATGTTTTGTTGATGTTTAGCAATATTGTAGATTAAGGGAGAACTTTGGGGGCAATATTCTTCTTTATGGTTTGGTTCCAACATTATCGTTTATCGTCTATATACTTCTACGGAAGCCGAGAGGGGTCACAACAAACGCAAACGTGACAACACAGCAAAAAGCCACAACGGAAATGACCGCGGGAGTCTATTTTAATGCAACAAATACAAACGCCACAACACAAACGCAAATGCCGCAACACATTAAAAAGCCACAACGGGACACTATTATCCGACGGACCAATCAACGTGAAAAGTAAAGGAACACTCCGATAAGACCCCTCCAATCTGGCCTGAATACAGCGAAAAATGAATGAACTCTCTAACCTCGCTTTCCCTCCACTGACGAGACTCTGAGCCTGACGTGTAGGTGGGATGAATGCGACCTGGATGTTCGCATGTCAAAAGATCGGATATGTATCGGCTTTAGGAGCACATATCCAAGTGGCCTGGGTCATTAAAAGATCAGATACAGGAACATAGGGCCGAAAAAATCAGATTTGGGTCACTTCAGGCTGCAGTCTGAATGTAGCCTTAGAGTCACAGGAAAGATGCTGGTGCCAGGTTAATGTATTGTGCATTGTCTCTGTACATATACCACGCCATGTTTGCTTGATTTCTGATACAAATCGTTGTGAGGTAGAATCTGAATCCTTCAAACATGTAAAGTGTGTGTTCATAGAGTGGAGTGCACTTTTCCCCATCACAAAGCTGCACGTGGTGGAGCTGCTGCAGAGGTGAACAAGTGTGAACCACGGAACATGAAAAATAGTCATTAAAGGGGAGTAAATATAGTGTGAACATGTGTGAGCCTTAAACACCAAAGGACCTCTGCATAGGCGTGTGTGTGTGAGTGTGTGTGTGTGAGTGAGTGAGTGTGTGTGTGGCGAGACCAGGCAGAGCGACTTTAATGCAGTGAAGCAGATCAAGCAGCTGCTCCTTCCAGCTCCTTCCACTCGTGTATCTGTGTGTTTACGTCACATGACTTCAGCGTTTAGTTACCAAAGTGTGATTTCATAGAGCTGGACGCAAACTCGAGGAATGTTGACCTATTTTAGAATGGGAATGAAAATAAAGTCAGGGCGTCACTGTCTGGCAATGGTGTCAATAATTGTAACATGCTGATTTTTTTGTTTTCACACATTTATTGTAACTAGGGTGTGTTCACATGTGGGTGATTCTATAATTAACATTTCGTGCCTGCTCACTGTATTTGTCAAATGTGCAAGTATTTCCTGAAAGCAATGATCATCAGCCTACATTGGACAAAATTAGGGGATTACTTGAATTAAGAGTTTTATCTTTTTACTTGACATGCAAAATCCTCTATCTACCAATGGAGCAAGGCTTTTTGTACTTAAAATTAGGGCTCGACCGATATGATACCGATAAAATGGGAGTTGCAGGTGCCAATAGCCGATATAAAAGC